CACCGGAATTGACGGTAACCCTTCGCCGGGGGAGGTCTGGAAGAGGGACGCACAAGGGCGGAAACGCTCGTCTTCCTATGGACGACGAGGGAGTCATGTCTGGGTCAAGTATCGGGACGGACAAGGGGTCACCGACCCACTTCCCAAAGGACTCGAGGGACTCGAACACGCTACTATAACAACGACCGAAGCTGCCAAACCTAGTACGTTAATACCATAGAGGTAACTCTAAGACTAAGAGGTCCCGAAATAACGTGCTCAACTTTTTGGCTCAGCTCTGGTACTCTCTTCGGTCCCAAGCTAATCCATTCACCCCTCGAAACATAGGAAAAACCAATAACCCCTCATTTTATCTGTCAAACTTTCATAGCGAATCAAAACAAACATTGTGTAGTACTAGAATTTTGACTAGAATGGGATACGTTAATCGATTTGCTTGGGACCAATAGGCTAGTCAAGTAGTGAGCCAATTTAAAATCGTTAGTTTCGTATTGATTGTTGGTAATACCTCTTCTCTATCTGTTGGGTCATCCCTGCTGGAACTTCTACACCTGGCCTTGGTGGGGCCCTGTCTCATTCAGCATACAACATCAATCTGTCAGCTGGCTCCGACCATCACGATCACCTACGATATAGATCTGCCCGTCGACCAGAGTGGCAATCACCGTCGCGATGACACTCCCCCTTATTCTGCGAGTCACGTGACTCTCTCTCACCGGTGAGGTGACAATAGTCACCTCGTGTGAGGTGACTCTCCATTTGATTTACATGGAGAGTCACCTCACACGAGGTGACAATTGTCACCTCACCGGTGACAGAGAGTCACGTGACTCGCAGAATAAGGGGGACTAGCTCCACAATCACGGCGCGCTCGTACCCCAATCCTGCACTACCCAAGCCAGTAAACTTTATCCTGCAGTGGAACATTAACGGGTTCCTGAACCGCATTGGTGATCTAGAGCTCCTTTGCCACGACGATCCTCCCCTGGGTCATCGCACTCCAGGAAACTAACAAAGCGACAACAGACCAAATAAACCGCTCCCTAGCCGGTAAGTATACGTGGGCAGCAAAATGGGGAAACAACTTCCGGCACAGAGGATCTGATCGGGTACCACCCAAGCTGCCCCGGCTCCGACCCTCGAGGTGTTACCCTGGTCGATATTTTCGACCAGGGCGAGAAGTAAGAAATGGTGATTCTGCATTACAGTGGGCTCACGTACTTCACTGGGGGGCACACTTCTGCCATCGACGTCTTTGCTGTCAGCCACTGCTTTGCCGGAAAAATTCAGTGGAGCGCGAACACGGACCTCTATGGTAGTGACCACTACCCCATCAAAGTTCAACTTTCGACCGCCATCTTCCCGATGGCAACACGGAGGCCCCGATGGCGCTATGAACAAGCGGACTGGGATAGCTATGGTGAAGCCCTTCAGTCCTTGTTACTACAGCGTAATCCGAACAGCATTGAAGACTTTTTATAAGTGGTATACGAAGCGGCAACAGCAACCATCCCAAAGACCAGCAGCGTTTCGGGGCGAAAAGCGCTACGCTGGTGGAATGAAGATACGAGGAAAGCCGTTAAAGCCCTGCGTAAAGCACTTCGCCGTGTAAAGCGCCTTCCTATCGGACATCCCGACCGCGAGGACGCTCTCCGTCACTACCATGAGTCGCACAATCAATGCCGGCAAGAAATCCGTGTCGCCAAACGAACCAGCTGGATGGACTTTCTGGAAGGAATGAATTCATTTTCATTTCATTTTCATTTTCAAGCACAGAAGGGGGTCATAGGGCCAAGTCACCAGCGAAAAATCGCTGTCCATACTGCACCAGGGTAGAGGCATAGATTTGGCATCACAGAATAATAACCACAGGGGTCAAATGAATCCTGTTTACGATACCGGATAGTAAGGAAAGCTGTTGAACATAGGGGATAGTCAGAGTAACAGCAATAATAGTGAAAGTTAGGAAAATAAGCAGGTAGAGATGGTTGATTTGCAATGACTATCGACTCTGTTATATGGCCTACCGTATCAGATTCAAATTTAATGTCGTTTAATATTGCGCTTATTACTTTTATCTTTATTCTAAGCAATCTCCTTTCATACTTGTTTGTTTTAAAGTGAACTGGATGAAATGATTGTTTTATCAAAATTATGTTAAAGTTAACTACTATTCATATTTGCTAATTAATACCTAAATGTAATTTTTAATTTTATGAAGATAAGTTGCTCAGAATAGCAGCCTGTAATTCCGTACCAGAATCCGCCTCCAATTTAATGTCTTTTGTGGATTCGTAGTAGCAAAGTTGTGCTAAAAGCTAAATAGTTACCTAAAAATACTACCTAAATCGTTCACAATCAGAGCCGGGCCACTGATGAAAACCAAAACTACAACCCTGAAAAAACGAATCGATATTTTCGAAGGCGAACACAACCTATTCTTGCTAGTGATTCTGTCCAATTGTTAGGTATCCAAATTATAGTCATTCGTAAATTTATTATTGAATATATGGATGAATTATCTATTATTGAATAACTATTATTTACAATAATTACATGAAAGAAATAACATATAAACTACAAACAAAACGTGACTACTAAAATCTCAAAAAGATATTCTCACAAGTATATTTCACGCAACCAGGAATCTCAAAACCATTAGACGCTATAATGATACTCTGCACATGTTAGACACAAGAAAAGACCAAAAAGCAAGCGTCCGACACACAAAACCCACCAAATCCACTGGCAGTCACAATCAACGATTCTACGAATCGCGAGCGCTCACGAATCATAAAACCGCTGACTGCGACACTCTGAAAGCGAAATTGACAGGCTCTATGCGTCAAACACCCGCCCTCCAATCTCCTCCCGCATCCAACAACACAAACCCCCATTACAACATCTAACGAATTCAAAACTCCGAAAATCACTCATCTATAGAAAGTGAGTGGAAGCAACCCTGCATGCAACTATTCTTCATGATACGCTTTGTCTGTCTATCTTTCTATTAGGCCTGTGGACATGTGTTAGCTTCGAAACTTCTAACCAAACTAAGAAAATTTTGAAACCACAAAAAAAAATTCAAAGGTAATTACAAGCAAAATACATAATGATTATTTTACGCAAAACCGAGCAAGTACATAATATTAAATCTCTTGTATTGTATGCTAATGCTAATTGACTGTAACAAAAATAATATGCTTAAATAAAATAAAATATTAATAAAATGATATGCAAAATTTACTAGAAGGTCATTACTTTATTGGTGAGAAGTTTCTAATAAGCCCTCCCAGTTCCTCTGTATACAGAACAAATCTGATACTATAATCAGAATTACTCAGTCTGCATGAAGCAGCCGATTGCATCAAGGAAGTTCTATTAACAACCAAGAATTAATCGTTTGAGGTATACTGAAGCATTAAGAAGGTGATATGTGTCACTATGGGAAATCATCATCGTTGCAAATATAAAGAAATTAAACATAACCCTTTGCTTCAGTACCGTCAACCTCCATGTCCATGGGGAGGGACTTTCTGGAAGGAATGAATTCGGAGACAAAAGTTGGCGCATACCTCCACCAAAAATCGAGAGTAGGATAAAGAGCAGGTTCAAGACTGGAGATAACTCTGCAGCACTGAGGAGAACAGTAGCCGAACTGCTAGGCTTGGACTACCCAACCCATGCCAACATATACACGGACGGATCGTTTTCCCGAGCCGAGGTCGGAATTGGAGTAGCCGGAATTTCAGCACCGATGAGTAGCAGCCTATCACCTGGATCGCTGGGCACTGCGGTATCCCAGGAAATAGCAAAGCCGGCAGTCTGGCAGGGTCTGGACCAGCTAGCCCCCGTTACACCGACGAAGTGCCACTACAGGACATAAAGCGATGGATAGTCAGTAAAATATGGGAAGCCTGGGAAGCAGAATGGTGCCAATCCCAATCCCTCTTCATCCGAAGAATCAAAGGAACGACGAGCAAGTGGACGGATATGTCGAAACTACGGGACCAGAAGGTGGTTTCTCGTCTTAGGACAGGCCATACAAGGATCTCACATAGTTTTGGTGGGACGCAGATCCACAGAATGTGCCTACGTTTGCGAAACCACTGCATCGGTGGAACACATCCTATGCCTGTGTCCGCAATACCAACAACTACGGGAGCAGTACGCACTTCCCAACAGCATTAGGGACATACTGGGCGACGAACCTTCCACTTTAGCGACAGTTATTTATTTCCTCAAGGACGCTGGGCTATACAACTACATTTAGGTCCTTTTAACTTTCTTTTGGCTGACGGGACATCTCTGCCGGATTGCCTTTCCTACGGTGGAGCTCAGATCTCTTTCAAAACCCTACATAACTTTGATGTATAAGATTGTTTTTTTTCTCGTTGCCTTAGTCGTTAGTCTTTTTACTGGAATCTATTTTAATTGCTTCTATTTGAGTACATGTGAATTGTAAGCCAACTCCGTAACAAAATTTGAACTAGCCAATGGCTAAAAAGTCAAACAAAAAGCTATAGAAAAGTTTGATTTTCCCATAGGAAATTCCATATAAATTTCAAATGGTTTGTGCAAAGTTAGATTCTTACTAAACGAGTTTAAATTTTGGGAGACCAATCAGGGACCGATTTGGAACCGTTTAAGCACTGTGGATTGAAAATTTCTAATTTTGCACCAGTCAGATCACCACATACTAGTTTCCTTTATATATCCGAACGGGACCTGCTAAACCCTATCCTGAAAGAACATTGCTTGCTTACTCAGGTTGAGACTCCAATTAACATTTTTGCAAACGCTTGGATCGGCAGAGCATTTCTACTCATTTTTTTCAGGTAGCATTAATGCAAGTTTCAATCATACGTGCATGCTACGGGCTCGTCTTTAACTTCAAGTTTTAATTCAACGTTGAAATACAATACTGATTCACGAATAAAGATTATCAAAATCACGGATATTTCGGTAGTTTTAGCCTTAGACAGTTCAGGCCTCTTCAGTATGTTTGATATTAGTTTCTATTTCGAACGTTCATCAATAAATAAAAAAAAAATACTTTCCTCCCTAAAATAGGTAAATATAAAAACCTCATTCATATCACGACACAGTAAAACTTAAACGCACGTTATACTGACAAATTTATCTACAGAAATATATTGAACAACTTGTCCATCTGTCGCAACTGGCGATAGACATCGCTGAACACGGAACTTTGTCTCTTTCCACTTTCAACTCCTTTGGCGCTGGGACTGCGCTCCTCGTCCACTTTCTCTGATGCCTTATCCGACTGCATCGCACACCAAATCGTGCTGATAAGCCTTTGATAGAGGAATGATTGTCTACATACCGGCTTACTCAGGTTCAAATGATCCTCTTTGGTCAGATAAAAGTCACCTTCATCGATTCGGGCGGACGTTTCCGTTACAATGTGGAGCGGAAACTTGAAGGATGTCAGCACAGTTGGACTGCCCTCGCATACGGTTACGATTTCCGGCTTCTTCTTCAGCTGATTAATGGTTTTCAGGAACGTTTTATTCAAGTGCAGCAGTTGGGTGGAGTTTTCTTCCAGTTCACGAACTTCAACCGATGGCCATACCAGAGCGGATGTGTGCTGTTTGAGCTTTGCAATGGCACTGCCGCGGTGAGGCGTTCCAAGGAACATAATGGAACGGGAATTTTCGGCGATCCGGCGCACTGCCGGATCATCACTGGCGGCTGCTTGATTAATAATACTTTTGATCAACAGACCACCCATCGAGTGGCCTACCCACACGACAGGACGGTCCTGACCGACGTTGGATTTGGCTAGTTTTTTCAGGAATTCTCCGGCACGTTTCTCCAGCTTTCCGTCGTACTTTTCACACGGACAACCGCTGGCCGACCACTGGGAGAGGGAGGAATCGTAGTTCAGACCAATGACGCGAATGTTGGGGAAGTCCTTCGGTAGCCACTCCATTGGCCAGCAGAAAGACCGTCCAATGGATTCATCGCCCAGTGGTTCCTGGAGCCACTTGTCGCCGGACACACTGTAACGGCCTTTTGTGCGGTTGCGTACACCGGGACTGGTGTACTTTTCATCCGCTACCAGCGGGACGTCGGGAAACACGACGGACCACTCGGAGGACAAGGGTTCGTCCTCTTGGAGCGCTTCGATGAGCTCTTTGGTGGCGGTGTCACTGATCGAGGGATGGGACTTCGGCGGTGTCGGCTGCAAGGTGAGCAGTTCGTCTTTGTACGATGCGATGCCCTCTGGAAAATGGGGTAAGAGAGAGAGAGAGAAAAAAGAGGTTAGGTTGAGGTGGTATTGTTTAGGGATGGCTTAACTAATAATTCTGTCTACTAGATCTTTGAATACATTTCTAATGTTCGGAGACTTGTAGCTTCCATTAGAACAACGAGATATAAAGTATTATTTAAAATTAAGGTTCTGAGACTGTTTGTGCAACAGTTGTAGTGAAGACTGAGAAATATGTGTAAGACTAGGACCGATGATTTTCGATTATTTGAAGTTCCGAGACAATTTATAAAGTTTGTCAAATTTCTAAAACACTTTAAAAAAAAAATTTAACTTTTGGGAAGTTACTAGAACTAGTTTTTGGGGATATTACTAGAATATCGGACCCAAGTAATCAACCGCTAATCCGCCCAGTTACAATACAAGGCTAACATAAAAATCGTTAGCCGTATGTTAGTCTTATGTCAGCCTTGTATTGCGAATTGAATGGCTTATTGGTTTCTTAGGCTGTCCGTTCAATAAATTTTTTATTTTGATATCAGACGATGTTTTCTAGTAGGTACTAAATCAAGGCTATACATTGTTTGTCAATATGACCATATGAAAAAAATGTTAGATCAAATTTACTCTTTTTCTAAGAGTTTATCACGAACATTTGGATGTTGGAATATCATGTTCTTCATGCTCAACCCCATTTTAGCATAATGCTGTTTGGTACAATGACCATTTGACATAACTGCCGATTGGCATAACGATAATTTGGCATAAGGGTCTGTTTATAAACTACGTAGACTGGTTTTGAGAGGTCCAAATATTTTTTTAGAGAGCTGGTTGGAAATGTTATCTAATATCAACATTAAGTTTTAGTGTGATAATGTATTAACTAGAGAAAGATCTGAAGAGGATCTGTTGATAGTTCCGCTAGAGTACGGCAGTGTGCAAATTGAATAGAAGTTGAAAATGAGCGAAGGGCCATTAATGCGACAGTACTAGGTCCTTCGCTCATTTTCAACTTCTATTCAATTTTCACACTGCCGTACTCTAGCGGAACTATCAACATACCCTCTTCAGAACTTTCTCTAGTTAACAAATTATCACACTAAGGCTTCATGTTGATATTAGATAGTATTTCCAACCAACTCTGAAAATCGTAAACTTCACGCATGAAGTAAAAAAAAAAACACTTTGAATATTTTTTTTTAAATTGTATGGATAGTAGCATAATGACCATTTAGTATGAACGGGAAATGTATTTTATTGCTTTTATGAAATGTTTATGTTTTTATTATGATCTGTTCTTCAAAAAATATGAATGAAACATTGTTTTTCCAATTCCCAGTGACATGATTTCATGCCTTTTTAAATTTGTCAGCTAAGCAGATTTTAGACATCTGAAAACTTTCTGAAATCATTTAGTTGATAATTGAAAATTTTCATCAACAATTTAATAAAAACGTTAGTATGAAAATTCAAGCTAAGCTCATGATAAATAAAAGTAGAAAGCTACCATGCCAATATTTTTTTCAAAGCAAACAATTATGAACGATTAAATTCTAAATTTCAAAGCAAAACAGTAAGTCGTACTTATCGAAGTAAGGTACGCTTACCTCCTGCGCGGGCCTCGGATTGTACTTCGTCGTCGAAGGAAGACTTTTTGGCAGACCAATTGAACAGTCGTCGTCTAATCAAGGATTGCTTGGAAGCACCCGGCGTAGATGTCGTCTTTGTCGAAACTTGGTTAACCCCACTACCACCATCACCAGCAGCAGGACGATTCTTCCTAGCTTTGGCAAACGCGGACACTAGACTAACGGAAGAATGTTTCTTACCTAGGAGACTGGCCGCCTGCGGTTTGAGATCCTTCTGTCGCCACGTCACGAATACTCCTCCTGCGAGAAATGTCAGGTTGTAAGAGGCGTGTTGTTGGAAATTTCAATGAAAGAACTCACCCAACAATCCATGGATAAACACAACGTCCAAATCCGGCTTGTTTTTACTGCGTCCCTTCGGGTACAGTGGATAAACGTTAGATTCGTAGCTAAAACTGTTCGGATCGTCCCGATCCAGATTCGAGAGCGTTAGATCTGTGGTGACCTGCATGCGCATGTCGACGTCCTTCTGCCATTTGGAAAGGATACTGATCCATCCGGTGGCGAAGAAGTCGTAACCGCAGTCCCCACAAACGGACAGGTTTGCGATGATTCTGGATAGTAGCAGCTTGATGTCGATGTTGTCGGTGTAGAGTTTCTCCACTTCGATCAGTTCCAGCAGACCACCGGCGTCAATAATCTTGCGGCAGTTCTGTTCTACGGTAGTCAAATGAACCAGAGCACTGAGCGCTTGCTTCAACTGTTCATTTTCGAAGCGGGAAACGTACAGGCGGTAGTCGACGCCATCATCTCCGACGGGTTCCTTAATCTGATGGGAGGTAAATGTGTGTTCTAGCACGTATGCGGCGCAATTATTGTCCGGGGCTAGCTTTTCGATGAGACCCTTGACGCCGGCCAGCACCTCGTGGGTGGACTTTTCCACTCCATATTGGCGCGGTGGAAGGAACCAACGGGAATCACAGTTCGAACGGGCCAATGAGATTGCAGTTTGGGCGTCGCACAGCTGAGCCAGATGCTGGAAGTCCCAATCTGTGAAACGGGAGTTGTTCGATCAGTGACAGTTTAGCTTTAGATTCATTATTTTCTATATAGGATTTCAATACCGGTAAAATCTGTTATCAAAATTGATATGATATTTGTGTTTTCACCGGTATTGGTACTAGAAGTGCTCTTTAGCAATGAATTTGTACCTTGTGTCAAATCTCCTGGCGATTTTTTAAGGAAAGCGTGCAATGGATGAAAGTCGAATGTATATTAGTGCTCTACTACTAACACCGTCTATTGCAGCAGCACTGGTGAAACCCTTTATGTCTAATATTAGATCGATCCCTAAATGAACTGTGAACCAACCGTTCGTCGAACTTACCTTTCAGATGATCAATCAGAGCGAGCTGCTTGATGGCTTTCAACCGATGGCTCTGATCACCCTCCTGGGCGATTTTAAGCAGAGTCCAAGCGACCGAGTGCTTCAGAACCTTCCACCACTTCCCGAACGGCTGAATGACCACATTCACCAACCGGCTATCCTCACGTTCTTGTTCTAGCTGTTCCTGCAGTGATTGCCTGTAGATGTGGTGCTTGATGTATATATAATCCGGACGTTTCCGGTCGATGTCCAACACACGGGTATCCACTAAATTACTCAGCGCAGAGTACGTACGATAAGCCTCGAAACCTACAAGGCCAACGCTAAAATTGGCGACAAAAAACGTGGTTTCGTAAATTACGCATTATCTTCTGGTAGCAAAGCGCCATAATGTATGCGATAGAAACACGATATCGTATGATACTCACAATGACGCCAGCCCGCATCCACCGAACAGTTTGTTGTACAGTTTGTAGTCGTGGTACATAATTCACTGCTCAGAATCGCATTATAGTCTTCCAAACCACTCCCAAAAATTAGTTTTTCCACAGAGTTCAAGTTTTTAGTGCACTGGAATATTTATTTGTCCTTGAGACGCTTGGTTATCTCACAACACTATTATTTGATTGTCCGCTTGATGGCACAGTTCAGTATAGTTCAATATTCACTAGAATTTTTTGCACTTGCTTCACTCTCTCGCATTGGAGAGCTGAATCACAAATTATTCACAAAGTTAACTTTTGCAGCTAATTATCAGAAGAGGGCTGCTGCTGCTCCTCTTCAAAAACACTTCCGATTCTTGACGTTCCTCGACTATGAATGAGCAGCTTTAACTACTGCCAGCGATTAGAAAGGGTACGAAAATAGCGCAGGAGGCTCGTCGACGTCGTACGATATCGTCAACAACAGGATGGTTGAAAAATTTGTAAACAAATTCTACTGTCGGCCCGCTTGCGCTTGGCAGATGCAGCGTGGCGGTGCGAAAGAGACCGCTAGCCTCACGGCAACATCATCAGATCAAAACGATCAAAACACGTCACTTTCCACCACCCTTCTCCGCCTTTCGTTTTACTTGTTGTTGTTGGGGGGGATGGGGTTGTTTTGAAACTACCTAGATCCTCGGCTTTCGTACTGGCGCTACTAATGTTTTTGCCAAGTGGAAGGCCGTTTACCAGACTGACGGCGCGGCAATGGAATGCAAATTCGAGTTGGGATGGGATGATGCGTCACTAGTGTTTATCTATCGTAGGAATATGGGGGCTGTTTTGAATAACACCTACTATTTTGAACGGTGAACAAACATGTTTCTGTTTTTGAAAACTGCACATTTAATGCGTCCTAAACTTCGTTGTTTATTAGCTTGCGTAACAATATCCGAATTTAGAAAGGCAACAAATTATTAAATTATTTCTTCCTATTCAACATTGAAATTCTTCGGTGCACAAGGTAATATTATTTACATTATTTAACATATTGCAGGTAATCATGTCAGTAGTATGCCTCTTTTCTTCATTCAATTGTAATTTATTAATAATTATTATACGTAGGCATGTTAGTTACACAGGTCAAGGAAGATTAATATAGTTTTCAATAATCAAATGTCATGATTACCCGGATTTTGTAAAATCTACCTGGTCAATATTTTTGTTCCGTGCACCGAAGATTTTATGAATAATAATTATAATTCGGAATTTAATAACACAGTGCCAACATTTCATTAGAACGCAACTGCTTTTGTAAACAATTACTTCAACCGCTAATATCTCGCAAATAAGAGCTCACTCCTGCAAATTAACGATGCCAGCTGATAGAGGAAACATTCCTGGCACTGAATTTATGGTTCAAATCAAAAATCAATACGAGAAAGAACTACCCATTCATTCAACTCGTGCTTCAACCGAACGCTTCGTATACACATCAGAATCGTCAGAAACGGCATGCGTTCGAGTCAGACATCAGAGAGCCATCAAAAACAAACGCATGCATCCTATATAGACACTCATAGTCAAGAGCAAATTTTCATTATGTCGTAAGTAACATTCGCACCGATCCGAGAAAAATAAAGTTTTGTTTCCATGACCGAAAAGTTATTCCTATTTCCAATTAAACACATATAATCTCATAGTGATAGCAATGTTCAACATATTCAGCCGGGTTTTAATCATACAAAGGCAAATCGCTAGCTTTCATGCTAAGAAATACTGGTTTTTGAGTCAAAAGTTATTATACGTCGTTTGGTGGCCCCTATTGTTACTTAAGTCAAAGTGTATTTACCAGGATATTCGGGAGAATTATCAATTACGTCTCCTTACGTGCAGCCCATTCATCATTTTAGGCGACCCCGGCGTAGTGGTTAACATCCATACCTCTCACGCCAAAGTCACGAGTTCAAATCTCACCCCCGGACAAGTCACGAATGACCCAAGAGTGTTAAAGTGACTAAAAAAAAAAAAAAAAAAAAAAAAAAAAAAAAAAAAAAAAAAATCATTTTAGGACCACCGAAATCATCTTAGCAACAAACAGTTCGATTTATTCACTTTAATAATGAGAAAGCGAAACGACGAACGTACACTTTTCACGGGTTTCTCAGCGCTGTTACTTAAGTCAAACGGCATCTCCATAGAAATTGGGTGACTTAAGTAACATCGAAAACTATTTTGATCGGAAGGTGATTACGTCAAAAAGCAATTTGACTGGTAAATAAATTTAAAAATGGGATTTGATTCTATATTCGGACAGTATATAGTGTAATAGCAGGAGAATCGATTGACACTGATAGCTCGACTTTGTTTACCTTTGTTACATTCGACGTAATGAAAATTTGCTCTTGTAGTAATAGACCTGCCAACGTGTGCTGACGTATTCCAACCTCCAAACGAACTGCCAATAATTTGGATGGAAAATGGGGCACGCAATACAAAGAACCGGTGCGTTGAAGTCAAAATGCAATCAAAAGTACTAAAAGTAATTAATGCTTTTTGAAGTAGTACTGACGGTAATTAAAATAATCTATCCGTAATTGATGTAATTAAAAGTATTGAAAATGTAATTAATGTACTTTAATTACGAAATTTCGACTGTATTTAATGAAGTGAAAAAGTAGTTAATGTTCTACATTGTGTAATTAATGTAATTAAAGCAGTAATGGAATTAATTTAATTACAGCCGTTGCCTGCGTTGAAGGTAAAGGTTATTGCGTGCCCCTAGGGAAAATGTTCGTTTTTAAACAACCTGAGGTCAGCCGGTTGGCAGTCCCATATAAACGGTTTAAAAACCTTGACCCATGACGCGTCGCTTTAAATGGTTCTGGCTGGTTTTGAGCCAAATGAACTATCAAAGCCAGCGCTAATAACATCATATAGGGGAAATGGCTCTAATGTTGGCCTATGGATCTAAGATTGGGCCCATCGCTAAAAATCTGCTATTTATCAATTTTATCTAGATGAACGCGTCATTGGGACGGTACTAATTGATATTTTTGGTCGCTATTGAAAATTTAGTTGATTTTTGAATTTATATATGGGTCGAAATTAGGGGCATTTAGGGCGACATTACATCCATTTCCCCTAGTAGACATCTGAAAAAATTGTATTTTAGATGTTTTGATTGAAGCTGAATGATTGTGAACAATTCGTTTCGTTTCGGCCCCTAAACTGCTTTAATTGCTCTGATTCGGAATGCGATCGTGCAAATCTCCAACCATGGTCCAGAACTGTACTTAGTGATGGTATACCTATAGCTGGGAAGAAGCAGGACAATGTCGTAATTATCCTGTGAATTGCGGCCCTAAAATCAGCAGCCCAAAACTTCTTACTTCATTTATCGTGGCTGCCGAGGTTACCGAGGAACTCTTGAAATACCCTGTAGCGAACGAGGAAGCAACCATTATTTCAACTCCTTTCGCTCTTGTGTACTCGCTCTTTCCAAAGCTATAATTTATCGCTTGACAATTTGGTTGAAAATAGACTCCCAGTTTAACTATTTGGCGTGAATCACTGTGGAATCCTTATATATTCTCTTCGTCGACTTTCTCTTTGTATTCCCGTGATCAGGTAAATACATTCACAGGTATTATCAGCACGCAGATAGATGAAAGGAGCTTTTATTTAGCATCTCAATTTATTAACTAAAGAGAATCGATCAATGGTACTTAGAACCTGATGCAATGTTCAGCTTATTGATATCGGCTCTCACGAAATATACAACAAGAAAACTTAACTAAACTTTTGCTACAATGTAGCAAACAGGGAGTTCTAAATTTCATGAGCGGTGACGCAACAGTGTCCAAGATTTGTGCTTTAGCAATCTAGGGCATCCCAACTAACAATTTTCATTTCATTTATACTGCCTCAAACAGTTTTCAAATATTATATGATATGAGGCAGCCTTTACTCAACCTTTATACAAGCTAATCCGGCGAACTTAGTAAGGAAGATTGGGACAAGGTCTTATTTGCAAATCCATTTACACTTCTATACAGCTGTTATCCCGCGAGGGCGTCATATCTAAATCGCAATTCTAGATACTCGAAAAATCTTACACTAGCGAATCAATCTAAGAAAACGCTTCTTTCATTTCTCGCATCTATTTGCATCGTACATCATCAGGAAGTTTTCAGAATCTTCATCAATCTTCTTTCTATCTACTCAGCGAACGCGCAGCTATCCACAGTAAAACAGGAGGGGGCAACCATAGAGGCAACTCTATCGACGATGCAGGAAAGATTTTCACCCGTATTCTTGTTTTTGTTTAAACCGTATTTTCCTCACAAAAAAAAAAAAGTTTTTTGTATGGAAAATACGGTTCGAACGAAAACAAGAATATGGGTGTTTGTTTTGTTGTAGTTAGCTGCGCGCACGCTGAGTAGATAGAAAGAAGATTTTTATTTCCTGCAAAAATATTATATGCAATGCAAGTAGATGTGAATAATGATTTTGTTTTAATATTCATTCGCTAGTGTGAGATTTTTCGGTGAAATTTAAATTTAGATGCGTCCAATCTATTGTCCAATTTATGAAATTCCAAAAAAGACAAGCAATACATCGACAGTAATGTCACGCACGTTATGGCTCCAGATAGCAATGGATATTTAGCGCAGGAAACCATAAGCTATTCTTTCGTTTAGTTTATGATTTTGAGTTGTTCCAATCTTAATTGATAATTAAACCGTTTAATAACATTAAAAGCATTTATATAAGTACATGATGATACAAAATAGGTCTACGGAATAATATTTCCTATCCCAGCTCTCATTGTCTAAGACCGTTCCGGATTGATATAGGTAAGTTATATTACTGCTATTTAAGGAGCAGTGATTAATGCCGCTATGAGGTAATCTCGGAAGTTATTCTAGGACAACAATTGAAAAAGGCGGAACAACCAAACGTAAACAATGGCTCTAATCGCAAATTTCTCGAGATTCAAAACACACCCACGCAAACTAACAATTCCATTCTATAAAGGAGATTTCTCTATCAGATGCTGGTGTTAGATTGCGTGGATGTGTTTCTATTCTCTAGAAATTTGCGTTTAAAATATTGTTTTACCTTTGGTTGTTCCGAGGGGGTGTTAAATGTGTTATGCTGTGGCTAGCTGCACGCACGCTGAGTAGATAGAAAGAAAATTGTTGACGATTCTGAAGATTTCCTGCAAGAAGATGATGCGCGATGCAAGTAGATGCGACAAATGAAAGAAGATTTTTCGAAGATTGATTCGCTAGTGTGAGATTTGTTGAGCATCTAAACTTGAGATTTAGATGTGTCGCCCCCCTCGGGTTGTTCCGCCTAATTTAATTGTTGCTGTAGAACTGATAAGGAGAAGGCAATGGGCAACTATCCTTAAGGATAAAAACATGTACGCTTACCTTATTTCGAAGAACTCATCTTTTGAATCAAACCCAAACCCGGCATGTGTGCACCATTGTCTTTGCTTGACCGATTATCAAAAAATTACTATGAGTTCACGTTTTAGTAAGGAGCCCTCCAATCATTGGCAGTAGTCGGGTTGGTCCTCGGCAACTG